GGTAGAAAAAAGGTGATGTGAATACTGTGGAAATAGTCGAATATGGCATAGAGTATGGTGATGGTAGTTTGAAGTGAGAAGTCAACTGCCAGTTAATAGACTTTTTTGCCGTATGAATATACGTTGCCCAGGGTGCACCACGCGGAGGCAAATCTTCGCACACCCCACACTGGAAAATTATGAAGCAGGATAAGAATTTAACAGAGAGTGGTTACCTATTAGGTGCAATATTCAAATGAAGTACGACATTTTGGTGGTATCAATTCTGTCTTTACCAATCCCATAAGCAATAAACAACTTTCTGAAGCAGTTAATTTTTCATTATTAAACAAAAATTGATGAAAATGTATTTGGAATTACTTTCTAATGGGATTTCGAATATTTCAATATGCACTCCAATATCAATTATCTTATTTCTCCATAAGCCAAAACCGTTATTCAGTTCGATGTAAAAAAGCGATTCAGACATTGGAGCCAGTGGAGAGTGCAATTCGGCAATAACGGCTCTGAAAAGCGCAGATTTTTTTCCAAGAGATCCTTCTTTATCTTTAAGACCTTCTGGTTAAAATACGTAGATAGCCTTTATATTCGGTTTGGGCCTAATTTAAAGGTTGTCTATTGGAAATTGGCCCCGGAAAGCGTATTTTTTATGAAGATATTTGCATACCACTAGATATTTTTTGTGATCTCTGTTGTATAAAAAAATAATAACAAAGAATTTTGGAGAGATTATTAGTTGGTGTATAGTAGAGGAGTTATAATTTTTCCCTTTTTAAAGTTACACACTGTAATTGGGAGAAGTAACTGAAAATGTCTGGCATCAAGTTCAAAGGGTTTTAATCAACTTACTTATTGAATTTGTGGTGTATATTATTTTAATGAAGGGGTGTGTGATAGACTTACCTCCACGTGGTACACCCTGGGCAACGTATACTCACACGGCAAAAAAGTCTATAAACCGGCAGTTGACTTTTGATTTCTAAATACCATGTCCCACTGTATGTCATATCCGACCACTTCTACAGTACTCACCTTACCTTTTCTCTACCCTTGTGTTTCTCAGTCTCTTTTACCTCTGTGATTCACTCTTCTGTTCCCCCTCTCCACATTTTGTGACTTTGAGGTTGCTGCCATTTGTGAAGCCCGCAGTCAGCCAAAGGGCTAATGATAACTATCAAAACGTCTGCCATTTAAAATAAATTAATTTAATGAATGGGTAATTCACGTTCAGAAATGGAAAGCCAATGAACTTTCACCTGACTTGTTCTTATTGGCAGATTTTTAATCATGGTGGATGGTCCTGCCACTTCTATGGCCTTGCATGGTATTCAACAATTTACACTTCAACCAGAGCGGAATCAAGATAGAGACAATGTAAACTATGCAGATTCAAGGATGACTTTATTGCTAACAAGCTAGNAACAACGGATGTATGATTAGAGAATTCATATACTTGGTGCTCAGATAGTGTAAACGAAACTAATGCCGCGTTCTTTGACACCGTCGTTTATTCGATGGCAGGCATTTTGATAGTTATCATTAGCCATTTAGCTGACTTCGGGTTTCACAGAGAGGAGGAAGAACATCAAAGTGACAAAACGTTGAGAGGGGGGGGGGACAGAATAATGATTCACAGACGTGACAGAGACAGGCAGACAAAAAAGCAGAGAAAAGGTAAAATGAGGGGTCAAACATGACAAGCAGTCGGGCCATGGTAGTTTGAAGTGAGAAGTCAACTGCCAGTTAATAGACTTTTTTGCTGTATGTGAATACGTTGCCCAGGGTGCACCACGTGGAGGTAAGTCCATCGCACACCCCTATATATAGTCATTGATAATAGCAAAGATGCTGCTTCAGATGTTGCTAAGAGAGGTAGTCTGGGATCAGACTGAGTTGTGAGTTGGGTGACTTTCCTTTAAACTTCTGAAAGCATTCCTAAATTGAAGCTTTGAAGTAGTGTTTATTACTCTTATTGGATAATAGTCTTCTCAATAGTGTCATACCATTGATAATTTGATTTAAATAATATGCTCTTTACAATTTTAGCCATTCGATTACTTGGAGATAAGGTTACGGATTATATGGTTGGTGAAGCACTCTCTCTGTTTGCCGAAGATGTCAGCATTTACATTACATCATGGGGCCCTACAGATAATGGCAAAACATTCTTTTCTCCCGGGAAGTACACAAGAAGAGCTCTGAAAGAAACCTGGCTTAAAGTAAGCATTGATACTTTATTTTAAAAAAACACTTCTCAAACTCAATGAAAGTTCTCAAGTTGAACCTATCAAGAATTACTTACTATGCCATCCCCACTTACGTATCCTCACTTTGTTTAAATTATTCATCACGAGAGTATAATGAGTCACAGAAAATATTTGGAATAGCCAGACTTAAATTATTGTCCATTTATTGGTATTGCAAACTCATAACAATCAAACGGCCCAAAGCTACCCACTTTTGCATTGTTTTAAATCTTTAAAAAAATTGACTCGGTAACATTATCGGAGTGTTAATATGAATAGAGTTGAAGGAAATTCCTTTCTTTTATTGAAATATCAATAAAGAACACATTTGACTTCCAATTGCATTGATTTCAACGTGATTTTGCACTGAAATCTACATATTTGAGGATCGTGCTTTGATCGATAGTCTCTTAACTTTATCTCACGAATCTTTCCTGCAAAGTGACATAGTGCTCTTCCATTTAATTAAAAATCACATACGATAGGTCGATTTTTGACTTCACCTTTGCTTTCAAAAGTTTTTTCTTTAGCGGGTTAAATAATTGGTTGGGATAGTGGAATCGATTTTATCATTTTCATCGAAAAAATTCTAATCGAAATGAGTGAAAGCCCACTAATTTGGCTCATCATTTGCCATAGGCTATAAATGATATTTTAACGGCTTAAATTAGTTTGTTTTATTATTTTAATGAACTACGTTATGGGCTTGAATGAAAGTGAGAACAAATGTGTGTAGTGGCAAAGATAAAAGTAGAAGTCATGAAGACAAAATTAGTTTAATTGCCAAGACACGTGGGAGATTTTCTCGTTTACTTCACAAAGTGTCCTTCAAGTGCCCGAAATTGGCAATTTGTTTGACTTAACTTTGCAGCGTTTTTTAAACAGCGCCAAAACTGAATATTCTAGAATCAAAAGTGAGTGTAAAATCTAAAATGTGGAAAGCGATTTTGAAAATAAACTATTTGTGTGTATTCAGATTTCCAATGTGTCTTCCTTTATACGCGTTTTTTTGACGAAAAACTCACGCTGTTGCATACCTATAGAAACTGGAGGTGTTTTAATCAAGAATTTCTTTCACCAATCGTAGAGCTTACCTACGCGGTGGTAGTGGTGTGCTTGTGTGATTCCTAATTATTCAGCATTATTCATATAGAGTAGCACTAAGGTGATCAGAGCAGAAATCAGTTTGCTCACAATAGTGAACTTCGGGTATCACTCACTCACCCACTCACTCACTCTCTCCCCCCCCCTCCCTCTCCAATCACTGCATTTAAATAATTAACTGCGCTCAAATTAAATAGACTTGATGTATAAGTAACGCCGAAATTAGAGTTGATTACGTTTCGAGCATTTGTTTTTTTTTGAAAAAACACTGCTTTGGTGAATTTCGTATCCAGGCAGCATAATTGGCATAGTGCTGTCCTAATGGCCTCTATTTCTCCTTCGAAAGCGGATCTATTGTGTCCAGCTGCTGCGTAGATAGAGAAGAGTTCAGAATAGACACCTGCACCAACGTTTGTTTGGTTTTCTATGTATGATCCATCAGTCAAGACTTGGAGCCATTGATCTGCAGGATAGTTGACATTGATTGTCTCAAGGGTCAGTGAGCACATTTGTTCTGGAGGGGTGTCTGGTTTCCAGAAGTAGTCATGCAGTTGGGTGCAAAACACTACCTCAGTGTCTGCTAATGGGTTCATGGGTAGAGAGAGGCTTTTTGGTTTGTCATCGATTTGTAATTCTTTCTTCAGCTCTATAGCTTTCTGTAATAGACTAGATTGCGTTTTCATACGTCTTGGTCTATTCTCATAGATACTGAAGAATTTATCCAAGGGAATGCGAAAATGCTTCTCATACAAGATCAAGGCCTTCTCTTTGATAAGGGAACATATTGTGGTGCTTCTTTGTAATTAGTCGTAATGTCTGATTGTGTGCCTTCTCAATTGGTTTGAGAATCATCTTTGTGGCTGTAATGAGTGGTTTACAGCAACACAACATTATTAGTTGAACAAACATCTTGTAAGTGGTGTTTAGGGTTGAGCGTGCACAGCCCCATATGCTACCAGAAAGACGCTTCAATACGTTCAGTCTATTGGAGCCGTAAGAGTAGTTCTTGCATCAAGGGCATCTTTGATATGTTGGGAGAAAGTGGCTACTTGTTGGTTCGTTGATCTTTGTGACCTAAAACCTGCTTGTTCATCGCTAAGAATATTGTTGGTCTCAAGGAACTATGTCAGCCTCCTGTTAACCAATCTTTCCATAAGTTTAGCCAGCACTCTTGCGAGGGAGATAGACCTATAGCTGTTAAAGTTGCAAGGGTCTTTGCCAATTTTTTGTACTGGTATCACTACGGCAACTTTCCATTAGTTAGGTACGAGACTGGTCTCCTAGATTTTGTTGAAAAGTGTCCGCATGGTTTTTTTGGCTTTTGGCCATATTCTAATTAGAAATTCCGCATGAATACCATCTTTGCCAGGAGACTTTTTGCACTTGAGCTGTTTTATCTCAGAATTAAGTTCGCAAGGTCTGAACGGTTCAGTAAGTACATTATTTGGTGTTGTTATGTCTTCCTTTATTTCACCAAACTGTCTTACTTGTATCTTTATATCTCTTGAAGATTTTCTGACAAAAGGGTTTTTCTTTTGCTTGTGGGAATAGAACCTCGCAAAGTAGTTAGCTATTTCGGAGTCGGTGGTAAGCAGTTTATTGTTTAAGCGTATTGATTCTTTCTTGGGTCTTTTCTTGTTGTTTTGAAGGTTACCCAGGAATTTGAAAGTTGATATTAGAGATGAATTTATCAAAGGTTGTATGTTTAGCTTGTAAGATGGTTTGCTTTAGGACAGCTGACTGTCGTTTCCAGGCTTGTACGTCTTCCATTCTTCCAGTCTGATAAGCAGTGTTGTGAAGGGCGTCTTGCTTTCTTTTCAGTTTCTCAAGGTTTTCAGAACAAATCACTCGATAGTGTTTAGTCTTGCCACGAGGAATAGTTTTCTTTGCACATCTGATCATAATATTTGTGATTTCGTTGCACAGTTTGTCAGGATGTTGGTTGAAGTTGAGGGAACTTGTGTGAAGTTCATTCTTTAAAAGGTTTGTGAGTCTACACAAATGGGCCTTCATGAAGTTTCACGATAGCTTAGTTGGCACTTTCCTTGTCATGCTTTTGCTTTTGGCTTGTAACTAGAACTAGGATCGTCAATTATTTTGCGGCGTGAATGCTCACTGATGTCGCTTGAAGCCAGGAGCAAGTCAAGTGTTGTTCTGGTTCCATTGTATTGCAAACATGTAGCCGGATCCTCATTGCTATAAATAAGTTCCAGAATGTCAGAGTGTTGCTTTATCCTTGTAGCCCCATCTGGTGGAGTGGGCGTTGGAAGTCTTCTAATACTACAGTTTTGTGTGAGATGTTCAGAGAAGTCTCCTAATACTATAGTTTTGTGTAAGATGTTCAGAATAGGTATCCTTGTAGCCCCATCTGGTGGAATGGACGTTGAAGTTTCCTAATACTAGCCCATCGGGTGGAATGGGCGTTGAAGTCTCCTAATACTACTTTTGTGTGAGTGGGCGTTGAAGTCTCCTAATACTATAGTTTTGTGTGATTCCAGCTATGTTTGTATCTTAGCCCCATCGGGTGGAATGGGCGTTGAAGTCTCCTAATACTACTTTTGTGTGGAGTGGGCGTTGGTTCAGAAAGTCAAAGTTGGGACAATTCTGGGGTGGATTACAGAGAATGTCAAAGTTGGGACAATTCTGGGGTGGATTATAAAATGCATATATCTTGAAGTGGTTTTGGCATTTCCAAACATTTAATCTGAATATTTCGCATATGTCTTGCATCTTGCTCATACTCTTGATTAGATCGTAATGTGATTTTAGGCCATATTTTACTTCTGCCAGAATTCCACTCGCAACTTGCCGGTATTTAGATTGTAGGTATAAGGTGTAACCTGGGAATTTGTAGCATTTGAGTTTGTCATCCGTAANGAACTTGTGTGAAGTTCATTCTTTAAAAGGTTTGTGAGTCTACACAAATGGGCCTTCATGAAGTTTCACGATAGCTTAGTTGGCACTTTCCTTGTCATGCTTTTGCTTTTGGCTTGTAACTAGAACTAGGATCGTCAATTATTTTGCGGCGTGAATGCTCACTGATGTCGCTTGAAGCCAGGAGCAAGTCAAGTGTTGTTCTGGTTCCATTGTATTGCAAATATGTAACCGGATCCTCATTGCTGTAAATAAGTTCCAGAAGGTTGCTGTTTAGCATGTCTTCAATTTCCTTTCCAGCTATGTTTGTATTCTTTATAGTCCCATCTGGTGGAATGGGCGTTGAAGTCTCCTAATACTACAGTTTTGTGTGAGATGTTCAGAAAATCAAAGTTGGGACTATTCTGGGGGTGGATTATAGGCTGCGTATATCTTGAAGTGGTTTTGGCATTTCCAAACATTTAATCTGAATATTTCGCATATGTCTTGCATCTTGCTCATACTCTTGATTAGATCGTAATGTGATTTTAGGCCATATTTTACTTCTGCCAGAATTCCACTCGCAACTTGCCGGTATTTAGATTGTAGGTATAAGGTGTAACCTGGGAATTTGTAGCATTTGAGTTTGTCATCCGTAAGGTTTGCTTCCATGATTGTTAATATGTCTATATAATAGGTAAGAAGGATTTTGTGGACTGGGATCTTCTTGTCTTGTGACATCCCTCCAGCATTCCACTGAAGGATCTGTAGAAGTTGTGAATCGCCCTGACGAGGGCGATTTATCTTATAGCTTCGTTTTAAGTTAATCATAATAAAGACTTTTTTGCCGTGTGAATATACGTTGTTCAGGGTGCACCACGTGGAGGTAAGTCTATTACGCACCCCAGTTGGTGATGGATTCAAGCCCCAGAAATCCTACTTTCTTTAAAACTTGAAAGACTGTTACAGCACTTCATAACTCGACTCTTCACGGTATAGTCATGTGTATGGTAAAAATTATTAGTTAATGCGATTTTCATTGCCAGGGCATAGAAACTAGTGAAAAATTGTCAAAATCGTCAGGAGAATATACTCCCGTTTTTTTCGCTGACAGTTCTGAATAGTGGTTTTTTCCCAAATTTGTAGACTTTTGATTTTTTAAATTCACATTTAACTTGAGTCTGGAATTACCTTCCTCAAAGGTAACAAGATACTACACCGAAAGTTGTCATTTCAAATGTATTTGAAACCTGACGGACTTGCAAATCTAACGCCATTTTGAATCAATGCTAAGAAAAGTATTTTTTTCAATTTTTTTACTCTTTCTGAAGCATGGGATACTTGATGTTTTGATTGCGACATCATGATATTAAAGAACCTTGCAACTACTTACCCAACTCGTAACTTTCATACCGAAATTCGAATTTTATGATTCATCACTTTGACTATTGACCTCTCTGTTCCTGACTTCACCACGAGTCAACAGATTTATTCTGGCAGTTGTTATAAAATCATAATTCGATTACACATGGCACTGCATTGCAATACTTACCTAAGCTAACAATATATAGGTGACGAATTTTTTTGCAAAATAATATAATTTTCCTTATCACTTTTACTAACTCTTTAAGGTTTTCACAGTCTAACTGAGTTTAGTTTGATTAAAGTCCTAGTTTCCAATACGGTCGAATGCATCTTGAATTTCGAAAAGTCGCAGAAATATATATAAAACTCCACTTGTCAATTAAAACGCCGATAAGGAGACAGCTATCTAAGTCATAATGATGAAACGAACATTCGATTTTTTGAGTTCTTTAAGATTTTCAGTTTCATTGTTTTTTTGTTTATAAAATTAGCGCCCTTGTCCACAATGCTACCACTTCTTCAGACACCTTTGCCGCTAGAGTCAACTTTTCTCATTTCTCATCGACAGCGAAGTTGGTTAGATCTTATCTCTACATGGTTCTGGAATCGCTTTACACTGTTTGAACTACGTCTGATCTTGTTGATCGAAAATTTAGGTTAAAATCGCCCTATTTACCACTCTATTTCTGTCTCAATCATCAACTTTGTATAAGCTCCAAGTAGACATGTATTTCTCTAATTAATAGGGTTGAATTTAATGCAGTTTCTTAATAGTTGTATTTTTACAGTTGAAATCTAATCATACTTCAAATATTTTAAAGTTTGCCATTATATTTTATATGCAATGGTAGTCTTATAAGTTTATTTATTGCTCATGGTGAAACGTTTCTAATTCCCTCGCTTCTCGATTGATTAATAATTCTTTCAATTTTTGCGTATGTTTTAGCATGGGAACTCTAAGTTTGAAATTGGAGGTATTAGTATATTTGATCTATTTTCTGAAAATTTGAAAAAAAGGATTATAATACTATAGTTACCACTTTTGAATTACCTGAAGAGTACTTTTTCTCATTGAAATATGGAAAGATGAAATTATTTATTTATTTATATCAAATGGCAGGCGTTTTGATAGTTATCATTAGCCCTTTAGTTGACTTCAGGCTTCACAGATGGGAAGGAACATCAAAGTGAAAAAGGTCGAGAGTGAGGGGGACAGAAGAGTGTTTCAAAGATGTAAAAGTGACAGACACAAAGTTGGAAAAAAGGTGAGGTGAGTACGGTTGAAGTAGTCGAATTTGACATACAGTGGGGTGATGGTAGTTTGGAGTCTGAAGTCAACTGCCGGTTAATAGACTTTCTTTGCCGTATGAGTATACGTTGCCCAGGGTGCACCACATGGAGGT